ATTAGGGAATACTAAATTGAGGGAAATAGTAAATTATGTCGGTATGGCAGCGAATATTGGTATTTACCAGAATTTCGAGTTTACCTATTAGATACGAATTAGGTAAATTAGGTGTTACCATTGAGAAAATTTTATAAGACGTTTAATATTTATTAAATGCGAAAACTTTTAACCAAAAATACAAAATAAGTGCAATAAATAAATATTTACATAAGTGCATTGCAAAAAATCTCTAGGAAATTTCAATTTACTTTATCTCAATTTAGTCAAACTCGCACACGGCGTAAGTAAGCAACTTAAAGAATATTTCTCAACACTGTGGATTGTTGCAATATATAGAGAGGATAAACTTACACTATCTCTTCAAAATAAGCCCGTCACTGTGAAATGCAATATTAATGAAACTATCCATATAGTCCAAACAAAAAACAGTTTGGAGCTAATATAGGTATATATCAATAAATACTTAAAACATCACGAAAATAATATCGAAGTCCATTTTTTAACTTCTAAAAATGTTTAACTAATTTATATGTTTATATCATTAACATCATTATCTTTATTAGAAGACGCAATAGTAAACTATAACATATGGGATCTATTTTGTTCTAACTGAAAAAAATCTCATTAGCTAACTTATATAAATGGAAGGTATTGATATATCTAATGACGTTTTCGATTGGTAAACCTAGGTTCAATCTCGATTTACTCTTGATCTGTCAAATTTTCTTGCCAGTCAAACACTTTTAAAGCAATGTAGCATTTTTGAAGTAATGCTAGTAGACATTCATATTTTTCAAAAATACATATATTCAATCAAATCACACTTTATTTGTCAAGTCACATAAAATAACTATTAATTCCAGGGTAATCTTCCTACCATGGTAAAATATATAAAGTGTTATAAATTAATTTCCCTGGAAATTTACCAATCGAAAATGAAAATTGCACTAAAAATTAATAAGTAATTGTATTAAGTAATTGAATTTGAGCAGTTTGGATTTCTTTAGAACTATAGTTTCAACCTATGACAGCTAATGAGCAGTTAATGAACATTAACCCGTGTGATGTAAACTGTGCTTTAGAATAGCCTACTGCACTAATTTAAATAAAATTGTGAAACAAAAACAGAAACAATGAGATGAGTAACTATTTTTTTCTTTGCATCCTCCCTTTATTACGTCAATTATTTGCTCTCAGGGCAGTATTTTACAAACGCCCATGTTATGTAAATTGTCATGGGCCTCTCATTACTTAGTCTCTTCGATCAAGTTTTAAATTTGGATAGAGAGATCTAAAAAAAACAAATGAAAGCAAAAAAAAAACAAGAGATGCATATAGATACTCTGAGAGGAAGTCAGTGTGAAACAGAAATAATGAAAGAAAATAAAGACTAAGATATAACAAAATAAACTAAAAATTCTTAACTGGTATCATTAAGAGCAAAAAAAAATAGTTAAAACAAGTTTCTCTCTTGAGAAGAGGTAATAAAAGGATATTAAAAATTAGAGATACAAATAGAGGGAGAGAGAGAGGAATAGAGGGAGAAAGAGAGAAATATTGGTAGAGAGAGGAATAGAGGGAGAGAGATAAATAGGAGTAAAAGAAATAGAAGTAAAGAGAGAAATTGAAGAAGAGAGAGAGAGGAATTAAAGAAGAGAGAGAGAGGAATAGAAGAAGAGAGAGAGGAATGGAAAAAGAGAGAGAGGAATGGAAAAAGAGAGAGAGGAATAGAAGAAGGGAGAGATAAATAGAGGGAGAGGTAGAGAAGAATAGAGGAAGAGACTAAGGAATAGAGGAAAAAAGAGACAATCAAATAGATGCAGAAGAAGATGAGGAAGAGACTAAATTAGATTTTCAAATTAAATAAGTAGAAAAACAAATAATTTTAATAAAAGCAGACAAAGAAACAATTACTAAATAATCTTAATTTAACTTTTAGTAAAAAGTAAATATTTGGAATTTAATTTAGAATCTCTTCTTTTTTAGATTGTAAAAAAATTGGTTGGTTTTAAAAGACAATCATTAAAAAAAAACAAAAAATTTTACAAATAAAAAATGTTATCGCTGCGGAAATGAACTACTATTAATTAAATACATATGTATATATATATTAGTTTAATTTATACATATTATACATATATATTAAATATGTATATATTATTAATTAAACATATATATGTTTAATTAAATATATATATAAATATTATTAAATAAGTATATTTTTTATTAAGTAAATGTATATATTATTAACTATGTATTTATAAGTTAAAAATCTAGACATAATAAACGCAAAAATTACTACATTTTTATTTAATAATAAACTCTTTAATCCCAAAATAATTTATTTTAGCTGTGAAATTAAATTTTATTATGAAAATAGCTCTAATAAATTTAATCAACTAAATTTTTTTGTATTAAATAATAAAAATCAATGTTGAATTCAGTCGGTCATAAGTAAATTGGACACTTTTGGCGATAAAAATAATCCATTAATTATTTCTTATCAATTGTTCTCATAAAGCAGAACTGTTGATATTATATAATGGAATATATAAACCCCATAATGAATAGAAAACAATGTCGCCCCACATTAGCGCCTCCAGAGAATTGCAATAAAATACGATATAAGGAAGAATATAAGGAAAAGATTAACCCAAAATTTTGCGCGCTCAGACTTTGTGTACGCACGTCCCGCACCGATTTTATCCTCATACGTCTAGCCACATCAAACATAGTTCAATGTATTTTACTTCGAAGATTTTCCTTTGAACATTTTGTTGATATAAATTTAGATACCACAGAGACGAATACAAGTATTTGAAAATCTACACAAATGCTACTAAAAAGAATTCTTTATTATTTATTTTTTTTCTTCTTATTTTTTGGTCTTATAATTTTCTTGCTAGCTCCAAAAATAAATTCACTATACACGAAATAGACGGAAATTCTACGCAATGTATCTGACAAAATGAAATACAACAACAACAACACAAACAGAAGATTTCAAAAATGAAAATTTTTGAAAAATCTTAGAAATAAATATATTTTCATTTTTCATATAATGAATGCCATGCGATGTCTGAAATTCTTATGTCTATCAAACTTTTAAAAACTTGCGAAAACTTTTGCTTTGCAATTTTTCATTCACTTAACACAATCGTGTATAATAAAATTTTTGAATTTAACTTAAGCTTTTCATAAGTAATATATTTTATGACACATTATTCGTAATTAGTTTTATATTTGGAACACTTTACTTTTCTATTATTATTTAAAGCCAACCGCAACGCAGCAGCTCTGCAGCACGTTCAAAAGGCACGTCTAACTTCGAGAGCGAAATCCACAACACAGAGCACAGATGCCGCTAGGAACTTATTTTTATTAAAGCATTTGTTTTGGTTTGTCTCTATTTGTTTGCCATTACAATTTTATATAAAAAAGAAAAAAAATTCGCCATTGTCACTAGATGTAACAGTTTTTCGTTAAAGAATTGAAATACTAATCGTATTCTATTTGGAACATATTAACAATTGCATACTTAAATAAAAATTTAAAAAATATTATAGGTTAACATAAATTAAATTTTACTGGTTATTTTACTTGTTATTGTAACAATATGTGAAAAAAACTCAGTCTAAATTTAAGAAAAGAATTTATAGTTTTAATTATTTTGCGACCAATTTAAGAAAATATATGTTGACATTTTAAAAAAAAATTGTATATTAATATAAATTGAATTCTACACATAAAAACAACAATTTGTGAAATAAACAAAGTCCAAATTTATAAAAAGTTTTATGTAAAGTATTTATAGTTTGAATTAATTTGCAATTAATTTATTTAAATTAGTGAATTTAAAGTAATTAAACTGAAATGTATTGTATATTATATGACTTTAAATAATATAAAATATATGTAAATAACAACTTTAATATAAAACAAAAAAATTACCTGGTGTCCGGTATTAAAACAAATACGTATAAACAATTAAAGTATTTTAATTACAAAATATTACAATATTTACAAAAAAATATAGAAATTAATAAAATTTATAAAAGTATTATTTTCATTTAAAAATTTTAAATTATACATATTTTCGTGGATAAAAAGTAAATACAATAATTATAAATAATGATGGAAATATTTCAATAAAACAGAAGATAAACAAAAGTAATAAAAAGGAAACACTGCGGAGCTTATGGAAAATAAAAAACGACATTTATTTAAATAAGCTAATGAGCTAATTCATTTAAAAATAATCGTTGTATAAAAATTAATAACCTAAAAAAATTTATTTCACAGTAGAACAAAAAATTTATAATTGTAAAAAGTAAAAAATATTTCTCATATGAAATGGGGAAATTTCATTACTGATCGGTATTCAATTTTTCCATTTTATAAATAATCACTAAACTGCACTATTTCAATTACTTGCAAAAGCTAACCAAACATCTGAAGCATCTATAGACGATGCTACATGTATGCACACCAAGTATAAAGACCAATTATGCGCTTCTCTATACACCTTTAAACAAGGTGTATATTTTACTCGCACCCTGAAATTTGGTATTCATACTTGAATATACACAATGCGATTTGGATACACTGTCGTGCATACATGTAGCATCGTATATATCAAGTTTGATGAAGTCGAAACTTTACAGCTGTCTTTTGATATTTGCCAGATATATAAAATATAATTGAATTTATTCTCAATTATAATTGTCAATTATAATTTTTTAGTAAATTACTAACTCATTTATAAAATCTGTATTATTATTAATATGTTTATATTATTATAATATAATAAAGCAATTTTATTATAAAGAATAAATTCTAACTTTTTTCTCGTGTATACATTTTTTAGGTATAAGAAATGTTTGCGTTTTGAAACACAGTTTCATTTTTGCTGTTTTTCTTTTTCACAATTCATGTAAAACGAAATGTGGGCAAAAGTAACACAAAATTTCAATTTTCCTTTGGTGGCATTTCAGTTTGAAATTGAATTTCTTGTGTTAATGGTGGTTGCTGCTCTTTTGGATCACATTTTAATTTCTTATTAAATTATTTTAGTTATATATTTTGAAATAATTTATAAAATAAGTAATTAATACAAAAGAAAATTTGATATTATTTAAAATTTTATTAATTGCGAGCAATTTGAACAATTAAAACGCTTTTAAAAAAAATGCTCAATACAAGAAGCTACCAACATTAATGGCGATGTAAATAATCTTAAAGACTTTTTTACGGTTTTATTTACGTCCTTTACAAAATCGGTATTAAAAGAAAAATTTAAAAATTATTTTCTTATATTACATGTGAAGCTAAGATAATGCGAAGAAGCAAATACACGGCAGTAAATTGAATGACATTAAATTGCTGGTCAATTTAAATTTTCCAGCGTCTTCTGCTGGGTATGCAAATTACAGTTCTTAATTTGTTTTGTTTTTGGTTACGCTTTTTTCTCGCCGTTGTTGTTGTTTTTGTTGTTATAAACAAGTGAACAGAATTAAAAGTTAAAAGTCTTGTGTGCGGACTGTGAAACTGTTCAATTTTGGAATTTGTCTGGCCAGCTTAACTGGTTTGATTTTATACCGATTTAGTTGAATTTTTTTGTGTAAAGAGAAACTGGTGCCTCCGCTTTTTAATGTTATCGTCTTCAAGCAATTTGGGCAATTCTTCAAAGCAAAATTTTAAAAGGTGAGTAATTATGATTTATAAAATTTTTTTTAGGTTTTATTTTTTTTTTTGTTAATATCAACGCCATTTTTCTTATTCTACGTAAAGAGTACAGTTAGTTTTTAAGCGTATATTAGAGCAAAAGAATGGTACGCAACATAAGCACATACACGTACACATGGTGCCGATGCTACTGGCATTACACGTCCATTAAGTAGTTGGCTACTTACTTGATTGGTTGTGATCATGTTGAAAGATGCCACAAGATTGTGAAATATGATACCACAATATATTGAAGGCATGTAATTATTTATCTTAAGCCATACTGTAACTATTAATGATACTTAAAAGAATACGATAATCCGTTTAAGGGTGTTAAAGTCAGTTGAAGTTAAGATTTGTAATTTGAATTAGAATAAGTGTGAATAGGAAAAATTCACGCATTCTAATAAGAAAATCAAATGTAAAGAAATTTTCATAACAAAAATAATTTTTATATAATTAAAAATTATTACAAATTTAATCATCTAATATTGTTTTATATCTAATATGTATTAATTTTTTTTTTGGTCTCTTTTTATTTAATAATATGAATCTATTGAATCGCTTTTATTTAAAGCCTATCAATAAGTTTTAAAATCTTACAAAACTAATAATATTAATTTGTAAATTATTTAATTTGTATTATTTTATAATATATAAGTTATTTGTATTAAAAAAAATTTAATACAATTGAGTTTAAATAATTCCTTTATTAAATTATTTAAATATATACAAAGTGTATATATTTATTAAATTAGTTAAATATATACAAGGTGTATATATTTATTATATTATTTGAATATATACAGGTTGTTTCTTAACAACGTGTTTTAACTTAAGGACATGATTTCTTGAACCAAAGAATAAATATAATCATATAATCTATGCATCCGTTTAAATACGTTAGATTGTTAGATAGCAAATTAAATATTTTACGGATTGAAAATCTTAGTAAATATGAAAAATTCCCTAGTTTCCTACCGAAGTTAAAACTGCTTGGTGTGAAATACCAATGTATAGGTATATCGAAATCGGTTATAACGACTTTGAAGGTTTTAGATTTTTACGCCTTCATACTGGGTTACTTGAATTTAAATAACACTTATCTCCAATCTATTCTAACCATCCATCTCCAATCCATTCTTAACCCCCTTCCTCCCTCCTTTCTCATTTGCCTCATTCACCTACAGTCCAAAGATCGATTGGACTCAAAGTAGTGTATGCATTGTGGCAAGATGGCAACAACTAGGCGACATCAATTGGGGTAACGCTACATTTAGGGCACGTGTGAGTTGAAAAATGTATATGTAGGACATACAAGGTTTCAGAAAATATTGAATCTGATAGACAAAGGTTTATCCAATACCTTGTTCTGAAAAGTAGTCCATAAGTTCTATCTGGCACACCGTCCATTGTCTATTCTTTTTAATGAATATTAGTAACTAAATTACCTATGTGATGTGTAATATATTTTCATTGCTTGGGAATTCTCGATATAATTCGTAAGAAAAATACTATAATTCCAATTAAAATTAAGTTGCAAAATAAATATTTTATTTCAATTTAGCTTTTATATTTGCTTATTTTTACTGAAAAACAATCTTGTATGAAAAACATGTTAATCTTATGTTAATTTAAAATCATGCTAAGCATATGTCCCCATTTTCCAAAGTATGCTGAGTCAGCCAACCTTACAATCTCTTTTATCAATAAATGGAAATCTATTCAATTCAGTTTGTAACATACGTCATACATATAAATACCAAAGAAATTATTTATATATTTAAAAAAAAAACTTCAACTTGAAACAAATGTTGATTGTAGTTGAAAATCCATATGAAGTGATTTTTTTTTAAGAAGAATTGATTTGTGACGAATGAATCAAGTATTTTTTAAAGTAAATTAAAAATTGTATTTCTTTTTACTATAGAACATTTAATAATTGTTCCGGTGTTTTATAAGTCATTGACCTTTCTTCTATTAATCCTTTTTTTATATGAGACAAGAAGTTTTTTATGTAGCAAAAAAATTTAAAATTTTTCTTTTTAGTAGTTTCATTTATTTTTTAAAATTATGCAATAAATTATGCCTCTAAAAAAGAATAGTATTGAAATTAAACAATTAAAAAATAACTATAAGTAATTAATTTAATTATTCTACAGTTGGTTTATGATTTTGTTCTAATGTAACACAGCAAGTTAATTCGTTACTGAACTCTTACAACAAATTGAAAAACTCCAAGTTAGAATAGCGAAATCAGGTACGGGTAATGAACTCTGATTCTGGGCTTCAAGTCTGACAGATACGAGTTCAATCCTTAGTACTTGCAATCTCAAAAAATTAATGATGATGGGTATTTTACAATACTCGAAACAGCTTTTATGGTCAACCAAAAATTCAGTTAATTAAATAATAAAAGATTTTGTTTTTTAAAATATATATGAAATATATATCTATTTGTTAAGTACATAAGAACGAGAATACAAAATTATGTAAACAGTTTAAAATTTAACTTAAAGTTAAAGTTTTAACTTAACTACTACTACTATGTTGAGGCTAGTCGAGTCAGTGCATTTGAACAATTTTACTCTCTACTAACTGCGAGGTTTCTTCATAACCCCTCTCTACGCCTTGACTCGATTATTGTTTATCACTTCATCAGACTAAGCAATAACATTAGTATTAGTTTCACATTTACAAAAGCTGATATTTATGTCCCAATTAATCATGTAAAAACATATTAAATATATAGAGCCCTTGAAGATTCTATAAAATGTATACATATATCAGTTCAAACTGACAACACCAATTTGTCTTTCACGCAATTGGAATAAACAAATGAACTCTTACATATTGACTTTAAATATTCACCATAATGGGTCTCATAACTGCCATAGAAACTAAGCATTCAAAACCTCTCCAACTGTTTTGTGTTAGTTTAGTAATACATGTATAATATCTTGTTATAATGATGCATAATATCTATAACAAGCAGATCGGTTTTAATTGATATATACTAGCCATATGTGTTCATGGATTAGATAAAAGTCTAAATATATAAAGCTTTTGATTTTTAGATTTTTTTTTTTGCATTCTACCAAATTTAATATTTGAAAATTTATTATTACTATGCTAATCCTTGCTATTAAAAATAGAGCCGATAATTTCAGATTACGATACAATTACCACACATGTTGAGAACCTTAAAACTCATTATCATTTCTTATTCTCATAAGAAAAGGGTTTTTATCAGTAACAGATTAAGCAAGTAGACAAGGTGCGGACATTTTTGGAACCTCTTCTTCTGCCATTGAAAATTTAAAGACAATTGTTTTTAGTTGATTTTTATGTAATTCATTCTAAGATTTCTATATTTATTTTATCTGAATGGTAAGATCTAATTTATGGAACAATTTCTGTTGCCTGATTTCATTACTAATACTTAATTATTAATACCTAATAAGAGAAATAAAAGATCTAAAATCTTAATTTTTATATATTTATAAATTATTAATTTTTTTTAAAAAATGTTTAATAATATTAGAAGTGCAACGCATCTAAAAGTCTTGTAGAATTTGACCTCTGAAACGAAACTCACATTTAACCTTGTAACTACTTCCAGAGTAGTACATGTAAGTTACACATGTCTTCAATTTGGTGAACTCACTCTCATACTACTACCAAATAGTTCCCGATCGAAGCAGATTTTTAAATAGGTGTCATACAAACATAAAGAAAAGGTTCAAAAGATCTATTATACAGATGTGTCATATGGATTTACTATATATTAATTGAAAGATATTTAACATAGTTCTTCGGTACCTTTCTTTTGGATATATAGACACTAGATTTTGCATGTAAATTCCATAGATTTAAAAACAAAAAGTATTTATATAAAAATAAAGTTCCAACTTCTAATAGTAATTAAATTTTTTTTAAAATATGCTTTCATAAAAGCTTCTTACCTCTTCTTATCTCTTCTTCTTAGATTCTAAGATATATTTTTAATAGAATCTCTACACAAAACTATTGTTGTCGAATGGTTATTATTATTTTTTTATTTAAATCCTGTTTACCTATCCATAATTGAATAGACACAACATTCTTGATGACTTGGTAAACAATAGCGGCAATTGGTTCCACGTTACTAAAACACATTAGTCGTTGACGTTGTCGACAAGTCAAGAATTCTATAAATTCTTGTAAATCCTAGTAACTAAAAAACAATTAAACAGAAAACAATTAGCTAATGCAAAAATGGAATTACTTGCTGTCATCGGTAGTAATTAACTATACAGTTAACTGTACAGTTATACTATATTATATCTAATAAAAGTGATATATGCAGAAATTAAATTTTAATGCATAACAATACTTTTAATATAATATAATTATAACATAGAAGAATAATGACTAAAATAAATTATTAAATAATGTTAATGTCGCTGAGTTTAAATATTAAAAGTAGTATTTAGTTTTTAGTAACTTGTAGTAAAGTTGAGACAAACAAGTCTACTTTAAGGAATAAATTATAAAAACGATAATACCACTTTTAAATATTTAATGTTTTACTCTAATATATATGAAAAACCAGTTGTTATCTTTTTGTACTGAATTTAATTTAAATAAAATAAAAGGAATTATATGCCGCATTATCGAAACTTAAAAATCCTACCTGTATATTCTTATAGAAACACTAAATGTAATCTTTTTAATACTAATATGCAACGAATTAATTTTATTTAACTCTTGTAATATAAAAAAAATATAGGTATATTGTATATTTATAAAGTTGGGAAAAAGGTGCCCAAGTTAAATTAAAAACCTTTTAAATTTTAAAAATAATTTTGTAAATTCATTTACCCAATCACCTTTCGTCTGTTTAAGCTTAGAACTATAACTATTCTATTGTTTTCTTGGCAAATCTAATGTAAAGTCTATTCAAAGTTCTGTTTTTGACACAAAAATACTGTAGCAAG